GCCCACCAAGTTTGATAGGTGGGGCCCTTATGCCCATCAAGTTTGATGAGTGGGGCCCTAATGCCAACAAAGTTTGATAGGTGGGGCCCTTATGCCCACCAAGTTTGATGAGTGGGGCCCTTATGCCAACAAAGTTTGATAGGTGGGGCCCTTATGCCCATCAAGTTTGATGAGTGGGGCCCTAATGCCAACAAAGTTTGATAGGTGGGGCCCTTATGCCCACCAAGTTTGATGAGTGGGGCCCTAATGCCCACAAAGTTATATGAGTGGGGCCCTAATGCCCACAAAGTTATATGAGTGGGGCTCTTATGCCCACAAAGTTTGATGACATGGGCCCTTATGCCCACCAAGTTTGATGACTTGGGCCCTTATGCCCACCAAGTTTGATGAGTGGGGCCCTTATGCCCACCAAGTTTGATGAGTGGGGCCCTAATGCCCACAAAGTTATATGAGTGGGGCCCTTATGCCCACAAAGTTTGATGACTTGGGCCCTTATGCCCACCAAGTTTGATGAGTGGGGCCCTTATGCCAACAAAGTTTGATACATGTAGGTGGGGCCCTTATGCCCACAACGTTTGATGAGTGGTACCCTTATGTCCACAAAATTTGATGAGTGATTAAGTGCTCATGCCCACAGTTTGATGCGTTAGACCCTTATGCGCCCAAAGTTTAATGAGTTGGGCCCTTTCGTCCACAAAGTTTAGTGAGTTGAGCCCTTATTCCCACAAAGTTTAGTAAGCATTATCTCAATACAATGTATGTCAAAATGACTGGTGCAATGTACTTACTGGGTTTGTTGCCTTCCCTTTTAAACAATTCTAACAGAATATCAATTCGACCTGTTGATCGATGTTTTCTACACTCTTCATCTTCTAACATTACAGCAGCAGACTGGATGCAACATTTCAACAATGCTCTGGTATCCAGGAGACCAAGTTTATCTGAAACATCTACATCCATCATCTCACCATCAATTCCTGGCACTTCAACAGCACAACTTGGCACCTCTTGTACTTTACCAATAAAACCAGCTATATTCAATAGTCCAGCTGTTTCAAGTGAATCTCCTTCACAAGTGGCTACTTCCATGGCTTCTTCTCCTCTGGATTCAACTTCCATTTGTTGTCCTGTTCAAAAAAATCAAACCTATGAATACACCATCTAACAACACATATTATAAATCTAGCAGCGAA